ATTTAATATCTTAAATGAAGCTGAAAGTTTCTAGTTTTTGATAGATTTGACAAACATTATTGTTTGATTATAAAAGTTTTGAGAAAAGAAGCTTTGAAGAGAGTTCCAAAAATGAAATTTTCCCCGATTTCTTAAATAGCAACAAGAACTTTAAAACATTACATCTTTATTATTTCTAAGGTAAAAGAAACGATTTATATCTTAAATTGAAGCTGAAACATTCTTGTTTTTGATTGATTTAACAAACATTATTGTTTGATTATAAAAGTTTTAAGAAAAGAAGCATTGAAGAGAGTTCCAAAAATTAAATTTTCGTCGGTTTCTTAAACACCAGCAAGAACTTTAAAAATTCGCAACTCCTTTAATTTTAACATATGGAATGCGATGTATGTCTTAAATTAAAGTTCAAACATCCTAATTTATGATAAAGTTGATAAATAATACACTTTGATAATAAAATTTTCGAGAAAAAATGTTTTTAAGAATGTTCCGAAAATTAAATTTTTCCCGATTTTTTAAAAAACAACAAGAATTTTAAAAAGTCACATCTTCGTTATTTCTGGGACGCAGAAGACGACTTATATCTTAAATTGAAGCTGAAACATTCTTGTTTTTAACAGATTTGAGAAACATTATTGTTTGATTATAAAAGTTTTGAGAAAAGAAGCTTTGAAGACCGTTCCAAAAATGAAATTTTCCCCGATTTCTTAAATAGCAACAAGAACTTTAAAACATCACATCTTTATTATTTCTAAGGTAAAAGAAACGATTTATATTTTAAATTGAACCTGAAAGCTTCTAGTTTTTGATAGATTTGAAAAACATTATTGTTTGATTATAAAAGTTTTGAGAAAAGAAGCTTTGAAGAGAGTTCCAAAAATTAAATTTTTCTCGATTACTTAAACAGCAGCAAGAACTTTAAAAATTCGCAACTCCTATAATTTTAGGAGATAGGAAACGACGCATGCCTTAAATTAAAGCTTAAAAATTTTAGTTTATGATAAAATTAGTAAATAGTACACTTTGATGATAAAATTTTTGAGAAAAAATGCTTTAAAGAAAGTTTCGAAAATTAAGTTTTGCCCGATTTTTTAAAAACAACAAGAACTTTAAAAAGTCACATCTTCATTATTTCTGGAGTGCAAGAGATGATTTATAGCTTAAATTGAAGCTGAAACATTCTTGTTTTTGATTGATTTAACAAACATTATCGTTTGATTATAAAAGTTTTAAGAAAAGAAGCTTTGAAGAGAGTTCCAAAAATTGAATTTTCCTCGATTTTTTAAACAGCAGCAAGAACTTTAAAAATTCGCAACTCCATTGCCTTAAATTAAAGCTTAAACATTCTAGTTTATGATAAAGTTGGTGAATAGTACACTTTGATGATAAAAGTTTTGAGGAAAAATTCTTTAAAGAAAGTTGTGAAAATTAAGTTTCGCCCGATTTTTTAAAATCAACAAGAACTTTAAAATATCACATCTTCATTATTTCTGGAGTGCAAGAGATGATTTATATCTTAAATTGAAGCTGAAACTTTCTTGTTTTTGATAGATTTGACAAACATTATCGTTTGATTATAAAAGTTTTAAGAAAAAAAGCTTTGAAGAGAATTCCAAAAATTGAATTTTCCTCGATTTCTTAAACAGCAGCAAGAACTTTAAAAATTCGCAACTCCTTTAATTTTAGGAGATAGCAAACGATGCATGCCTTAAATTAAAGCTTAAACATTCTAGTTTATGATAAAGTTGGTGAATATTACACTTTGATGATAAAAGTTTTGAGAAAAAATGCTTTAAAGAAAGTGCCAAAAATTAAGTTTTGTCCGATTTTTTAAAAACAACAAGAACTTTAAAATATCACATCTTCATTATTTCTGGAGTGTAAGAGATGATTTATATCTTAAATTGAAGCTGAAACTTTCTTGTTTTTGATAGATTTGATAAACATTATTGTTTGATTATAAAAGTTTTGAGAAAAAAAGCTTTGAAGAGAGTTCCAAAATTTGAATTTTCCTCGATTACTTAAACAGCAGCAAGAACTTTAAAAATTCGCAACTCCTTTAATTTTAGGAGATAGGAAGCGATGTATGTCTTAAATTAAAGCTCAAACATTTTAGTTTATGATAAAGTTGGTGAATAGTGCACTTTGATGATAAAAGTTTTGAGAAAAAATGCTTTAAAGAAAGTTCCGAAAATTAACGATTTTTTAAAAACAACAAGAACTTTAAAATATCGCATCTTCATTATTTCTGGAGTGCAAGAGATGATTTATATCTTAAATTGAAGCTAAAATATTCTTGTTTTTGATAGATTTGACAAACATTATTGTTTGATTATAAAAATTTTGAGAAAAGAAGCTTGGAAGAGAGTTCCAAAAATGAAATTTTCCCCGAATTCTTAAATAGCTACAACAACTTTAAAACATTATATCTTTATTATTTCTAAGGTAAAAGAAACAATTTATATCTTAAATTGAACCTGAAAGCTTCTAGTTTTTGATAGATTTGAAAAACATTATTGTTTGATTATAAAAGTTTTGAGAAAAGAAGCGAGTTCCAAACATTAAATTTTTCTCGATTTCTTAGCAGCAAGAACTTTAAAAATTCGTAATTCGTTTAATTTTAGGAGATAGGAAGCGATGTATGTCTTAAATTGAAGCTAACAGTTTCTAGTTTCAGTAACAATTACGTCCTTTAACTATTCATATTTGGCCAGTATTACATACAACCAATATGACGTTATGGTATATGAGAGGCAACATTAAGAGATAATAATTTTAATGGATTCCAGAAACATCATTTCAAAAAATATCGGTCAAAATTGAGATATTAGAGGAAAAAGACGAGGTTGTAAAGAGATTTTGAGCGGTTTAGGCTTCTGGCCTGATTTTAATTTTAGTTTTTGTGTTTCCATTTTTTTTTTGTACTTATTTTAAAGAATTTTTAATTTCCTATAAAAAAACAAAAATATTTAACAATTTTTTTACATTTTTAGATTAACTTTGCTTTGGTTAACCTTAACTCAAGTGTATAGCTCGTGCGAAATTGAATTTCTACCGGTTTACTATCCCAACGAAGAGGAGAAAAGGGACCCTAAGTTGTACGCGAACAACGTCCGAGCAGTTATGGCGAAGTAAGAAGTTGACGAAGACTTTTTTTTTATCCTTATCTATGTTGTCCACTTTCATGTCGCCGGACGCGGCAATTTGTCATTAACAAGAAAGTTTGTTATAAAAAAAGTGGGACAACAAAGTAGGATTTAAAAAAAGATTAAAGAATGTTTTAATTTGGAAGTGAAAGGTTTTTTTTTTAGAGCTTTAGGTATTCCGGTGTTAGATTACACCTATGATGATTGTAAATTAATAACGCGTGCCAAAGAAATGAACCTTCCCAATGCGAATTGTTTGCTTGAGGTTCAAAAAATTCGACATAAACTTGGGTAAGGAATTTTTTTATTTCTTTATTTTATGTATAATTAAATTTTTTGTTACAGATTGGATGAAAACTCTACAGAAATAAAACTTGTTGATTCAAAAATGCATTGCAAAGATTGTTCGAAAGTAACTTTATCAGAATTCGCTCATTATTTAGATATTTCTTCAAATGACCCAGCTTTACAACAATTATTTAAAATTTATGATAAAAATTCAACAGGAGTAATAGACTTTAGAGAATATCTTTTAGGTGTTTTAGGTTTACCATATAGTAAAAGCCCCATGGATGCTATATCCATAGCTTTTAAAGTAAATATATAAATAAAACTTTTAATTTAATGTTATATTAATTATTTTTTGTTTTTAAAGATTTATGATCGATCCGGATTGGGTCGATTACACATAGAAGACTTTAGTAAAGTGTTATCGCACACTTTAGCGATGGACTTTGCGGATTCATTAGAAATATTTCGAAGAATAGACGTTCACGGTTTGGAATATGTGACATTCGACGATTTTAAATCGTTTATGTCTCATAATAAGTTGGATTACGCGTATCTTTTTAACTTTGAAAAGGAGGAAGAGAAAGTTAAGGTTAGAAACGGAGAGATTTGTCCGAATGATTACAAGAAAACTCAATAAGTTAAAGAAAAAAAATAAATAACCAGGATTATCTGCATTTGTTCTTCTTTTTTTGAGTACCTCATTTGTATATTTATTAAATTTAAGTACCTGTATGTATTTATTTATAATTATTAATTATTATTAATTAGTATAGTTCGTTTTTTGATAAGAATGATGTACTTATGTTGAGTTTAAAGAAAATTAAAACTACAAAAGTTGTAAAAGTGAGTTTGTATTTGTATTTTACACATGTAGGTAACAAAATATAAAAAAAACATCAGTGAATTAATTAATTAAAGTTCGTTATAACTTAGATTTAACTTGTTTTTCTTTGGCCAATTCTTTCACCATTTTCTTCACTTCACTTCTTATTACTTTCCCAGTTAAATTTCTTGGTATTTCCTCAACGAAAGTAACTCCTCCTCTTAAATATTTATTAGGAGATACAAATTCTAAAAAATAAATAATGTATTATTAATAAATTAAAACATTATAATAATAATTGCGTATTTAGAAAATTATCCATGAAAATTTTATCAAAACTTCAAATATTGTTTTTATTTTTCAAAACGAGTTGGTTCATTGGAAAGAGGACACTTTTATTAACACTTTGGGAAATTTTCATACTCATATTCCAAGAAACGGATTTTATACGAATTTTTAAAACTTAATCGGCGAAAATTGCAAAATTCGAAAAAATTGTAGATCATTTCAAAAATGTATTTCTCAAGAACTGAAAGTGATTTTTCAAAACGGCTTTTTGCATTAAAAAGAGGATGCTATAATTAATAATTGGTGATATTTTCACAAGGATCCTTCAAGAAATCAATTTTATAGCAAATTTTGAAAGTTATTGGTGAAAATTGCAACATCGAAAACTTCAAATATTGTTTTCTCAAAAACTAAAAGTTATTTTTCAAAACGGGTTAATTCATTAGAAAGAGGACACTTTTATGAACACTTTGGGAAATTTTCATACTCATATTCCAAGAAATGGATTTTATACGAATTTTTAAAACTTACTCGGCGTTAAATTGCAATAGTTGAAAAAATTGTCGATCATTTCCAAATTTTTTTTCTCAAGAACTAAAAGTGATTTTTCAAAACGGCTTGTTGCATTAAAAAGAGGATACTTTAATTAATAATTGGTGATATCTCCACAAGGATCCTGCAAGAAATTAATTTTATAGTGAATTTTGAAAATTATCGATGAAAATTGCAACATCGAAAATTTTACCAAAACTTTAAATATTGTTTTCTCAAAAACTAAAAGTTATTTTTCAAAACGAGTTGGTTAATTGGAAAGAGGACACTTTTATTAACACTTTGGGAAATTTTCAT